CTTCGCCATTAGCCCGTCGCAGCCCGCCTGCCTGGGTCACCCGCGCGGCATCTGTTGAGCGTCAGCGCCTCCTGCATCAGTGGCACGTCTGAGGTCCCCCCCCCCCAGCTTTCCCTGTGCCCCCTCCCTCCCTGTGCCAGCACCTCGGGGCGCTCATTAACAAGTTAGTGCCCAAATCACTCGGCCTGCCCCTAATCGGTTGTGAGTCTTTGAGGACATGGCCAGAGCACGGGGCCCTCCCCTTCGGAGGGGATGGAGAGATGGTTTATTCGGCTGGACAGATCCCTCCTAATTGAGCTGATACTCTGTGCTCACTAACAGATGGCTGCTTTACATCAATTATTCCTTATCTGTGTAGCCGGGAATGATATGCTGACAGACAGTACGGGGCAACCGAGCGGGCCGGGCCATGCGCCCCTGCCACGGCTGCCCCCTGGCCACGCACCCTTGTGTGCGTGGGTGTTTCTTGTGCCTTGTGGCCTGGTCTCTGGTTGCTTTGTGACTCTGGGTCCCCGTGGCAGGTGCCCCGGTCCCTGTTGTGCTCTTCTCCCCGCAGTGGCAGGGGGCTTTGCCATGGTCTGCGCTGTGCTGGGAGCCTCTGCAGGCTGCTCTGCTGTGCCAGGAGGGGACACATGGCATGTCTCCCAGGTCTGAGTTGGGGGGCATGTACATGGGGGGGTGTTGGCAGGCTCTGGCTGTGCCTGTAGCAGCAGGTGGAGGGATGGATGGGCAGTGAGGAGCAAGGAGGTCATTGGGCGGCGTGGACGGTGGAGGCAGCTGGAGCCCATGGGTGCGTGGGCATGCACTGCAGTCTGTCTGGCCCGTGGCTCCCACCTGGAGCTTTCCCACTTTCTGGGCCCTTTTGGAAGACCCCCGTGCCACCCCACCCAGTGATGCCCTCCGGCAATCGCTCGGGCACACGGCCAGGTTGGGGTTGCCTGCTTGGTGCTTTCCCAGCCCACCTGTCCCCCCTGCTCCAAGGAGGTTGATTGTTCAGGGCAAAGAGCTCGTGACTCCTAGATCCGGCCCGCTTTCCCCCTGGCGCCGGGACAAAGCTGGCAGCAGAGCAATCTGGGGCTTTGGAGAGCACTTTGTCAATGGCTGGCGGCCTTCCCGGTGCACGGCGGGAGGGAAAACCCAGGCAGGGTTGATGCACTGGAGCTGGGGCCTGGTTCATCCTAACCTGCCTCCCACCTGTGGAGGGTGAGGAAGGGCCATGGGGGCTCCCTTGGCTTTGGCTGCATGGGGCGTGTTCAAGAGAAGCCCCAAGGCTGGTGCCAGCTGAGCATCTCTGCACAACTGCGTCTGTGCAGAGCTGCCCCAGCCATGACAGCACTGGCCCGGGCTGCTGGTAACAGCCTAATTACCAAAGACACCTTCGTCAGCACAGGCTGGAGGAGCTGCTGCCAATCACGGCAAGCAGTGGCGTTTAATTAATACCTGATCCAGCATCTAATATCCCTTTAATTGCTCCCTGATTGCCTGTTGCCTGATGCAGCGAGCGTTACCTCGTTGGGAATAATGATAATAATAATTAATAAGGCCTCGCACCACTCCCCGAGCCCAGCCCAGCAGATGCCGCCCTGCTTCGCTAGGAAGGAGGCGATGTTTTCGCCTGGCACTGGGGCGCAGCTGTCTCTAGGGTGGAGCAAATGGTGTGGCCTGGAGAGAGGGTCACGTCTCCCACACTGATAAGTGATGGCCCGATGCCCTTTGCACCACCAGCATGTGACACGGCTCAGTGACGCCCTGTGACTGGGCTCCGAGCCCTGCTGCATGCCGCCCGGGTTAGCGATTAACTCGGCCTGGGGGCTCCGGGGGGTGACACCTGATCAGCGGGCACACCCCAGAGCTGCCTTGCCCTGGATGCACAAATTGGTCCTCTCTCAAGCCCCAGACAGCTCCTAGGGTTGGAGGGGAGGAGTAGTGGGTCCCCTCGGTCCCCCCCAGAAGTGCTCCTGGGGGTATCCGGCAGGTGCATCTGTGCCATGCAGTGCCCGGCTCCAGTGGCCAGGCAGGAGGGCTGGGCTGGGCACAAGCAGCCTCTGCCCTCTGCTCCCCAGGGAGGAAAGGCGTGATGTTCCTGGCACCCGCCAGCATCCTGACCCTGGGGCCGGCGGGGAGCAGGCTCCGCCATCTCCTGGGAGACACTGAATAGGCAAGCAAAGCCTCCGCCACCCGCCATTCAGCAGGGCAGAGGAGAGCACAAAGAGCTTGTCTTCAGCCTGGCGGGGCTGGCTCTGGTGGGTAACATGATGATGGCGCGGCGGGGGCTGGCTAGCACCAGAGACCCCAGCGTCTCCCGCCTGTCTCTGGGAAATGCCATCGAAACACAGTTCTCTGTCCGCCTGTCCATCCACCCTGTCTCAGGAGGGAGCCGTGCCAGGGCCCCCACCATACCTTGCAGAGCTTAGGGCCCCGGCCCCCCGTGGTTGCGTTGGCTGAAGGCAGGCGGCCATAGGATGGGCGGCGTGGCCTGCACCCCGAGATGACTGTGGAAAGCCAGCCTGGAGGAGGCTATGGGGGGAGTACGGTGACCACCTTTTCAAAATGGAAAGGTGGGATACTTGCCTACCGCCTCCTATCTCTGCTGGTGAGGGAGGACAGCAGGGTGGGTAGCCTTGAGGCTGCAGCAGGCAGCCTGCGTCTGCCCCCGCCCTGTGCACAAATCTGGGGGGTATCTGCCCCCCCCACTCACCCCCATAAACTTACCTGCAAGGAGCTGCTCTCTACACTGCCTGGCTGTATTCCCAGCCATGTGTATGTGTGCAGGTGCATGCACGCACGTGGCACCCCCTGCGTCCCACTCCCCCCAACCCCAAGCAGCTTGCAAGGGGAGCCCTGCCCCTTCCCAAACCTAGATTTCTGCGCGATTCAAACGCTTTCCTGGAGTCATGATCCCCGGGGCTGGGACTTGATGTTCCCATTCCAGGACAGTCCCACCCATTACAGATGGGCGGTCTCCCAAGGGGATGTTGTGTTAGCTTAGGAGCCCCTCCGTGGTTTGGGATCTGCGCCGCTGTGGGCCTGGAAGCCTGCCAGGCTGTCTTCAGTGCTGGCCTGCGTGATGATTTATTTGGCTGGGTCTCAGCCCTAGCCCACGTGTCCTGCAGACCCCATCGCACCCTCCTCCACTGAGGCAGGCACAAATGCCACCCCCAGCCATGCTCCGTGGGTTTCCCTCCTGCCCCAGTGGTGGCCCCTGCCTGGCAGGGCAGGCGTGAGGCGTGCTGGTCCAGGCAGCGCATGCCACGGCTGTCTGGGCTGTTATTTATAGACCCGGAGGAGTGCCGTCTCCAGGGTGCTCACCTGGCACATCACGCCGGCTGCACATTCCCTGGCCTGAGACACGGGCGCTGTGGGGGTGGGCGGGAGACATCCCCGGGCAGGGCTGGGGCAGGGGATCACGGCCACAGCCGCATCCCCTACCCAGGGCTTTGCAGGTTGCATTTTCTGAGGCTGCGTTTTGCAAGCACCCTCCCTCCCTGAGGCTATGCAGACTGCTGCTTGCCCCTTTTTTTTAGAGTCGCAGCCGTGGGGGGCTCAAGGTGCCCTCCCTGTGTCGGTCGGCGGGTCCTGAGTTCAAGTCCCATGCAGGTTGCCTCTCGCCTCATCAAAACTCCCCCGGAGTCGGAGGAGAGGGCTCTCACGAAGCCAGTGTGGCGGGAAGCCAGCATTTGTTGCATGCCCAGTGAGCGATGGGCTGGATTCACCCACTCCTGGTGCAAGCAGGATTGTCCCTGGGAGCTTCCCCAACTGCACCGTGGTGCCCGCTACCTTCGCCAGCTCACTGCTGTGACCTAAGGAAGCCCATGTGCTCCGGCTGCCAGCCGGTCAGTGAAGCGCATCACCATGGAAAGGGCTGGATTAGGGTCATGGGCTGACAGGGATCCTGAACCTCAGCTGTAGGGCTGTGACGGTGAATAAAACCCCAGAGCCACCACCTTGCCTGCCTGTGCAGCGCCGTGGCCAGGCCCGCATTGCTTTGGTGGCTGTTGCTTTATTAAAGATAAACCGAGCTGACGGGAGCACAAGCTGTTTTCTTCGATGCGCATAAACTGGGAGGGTGACAGGCACAACAAACAAGGGCATGGAGCAGCGCCGAGCCAGCCGGGATTAGGAGCCGCGTGAGGCATGGCCAGGGGCGCTGGCAGGCAGCGGAGGCTTAGCAGGGAGGATTTAGGGTCAGGGAGATGATACCGCCAACCCGAGCGCATGCAGAAATGTTGCCACTCAAGTGTAATAATAGGTGACGGAGGCATTTTGAAGGGCTTTGAGCCTCCTGCTTGGGGATCTGGAGCCCAGCGGTGTGTGGCTGGTGGATGGGGCGAGGAGCAGGGGTGCATCCGGAGAGGGTGCATGTGGCCACGCTGGGGCTGCCCGGGAGGAGGGGATGGACCCCAGTGCCCATGCAGGGAGAGGATGCCAGTCCTAACAGGCTCCTTCATGAGCTGTCAGCAGGCCTGGGAGGGAGCTGCTCGGGGACCGCAGACATCCTCACTGCCAGAGGCAGGACGTGAGAGCCGGGGTGCAGCGGGGTACCGACCCAGCTCCAAGCTGGCTGCCCCCTCCGGTCTGCACAGCGCCCCTGAGCCTCTGATCTCGAGGAAAGCCTGGCTGGGGAGCAATCAGCTGCAGCCTAATCAGCCGGCTGCTGCAGAGTGATGCTGCTTTGATTCATGCCCTCCCTCCGCCCCCCTCTCCCCAAAGCCTTTCTTGTCTGGGCCTGGCTGGGAGCGCTCGCAGGCAGCCGTCGCCCCGGAGAGCCGCGGCGCTGGCTGGCAGGCGAGCACCGCGCAGCTCCCCTCGGCTGCCACGTGCGGCCGGCCAGGAAGACAACAAAAGCAGCTCGTGCCTCCCTGCCCTGGCACCCCCGGCCCCCATCGGAGGAACCGGCTTGCTCCAGGCTGGTAGCAGCGGGCCTCGGGGCAGAGGGATGGAGCCTGGAGAAGCCGTGCGGAGAAAGGCTCTGAATCCCTGTGCTTCTGCTTTTGTTGCAGGCCTCGTCCTCCTCTTTCGAGACACCTGCCCTCAAGGCCGTGGCCGGCGAGCCCAGGCAGCGCGGGGTGGGCGCCGGCGAGAGCCCGGGAGCGGGGAACGGAGCTGCCCAGGACGTCGGCTCCGACCGCAGCCAGCGGACGGGTTTGGATGTGGACGGCGCCGACCCAGGAGCTACAAGTAGGTGCCGGATTTGCCGTCTGGGAGTAGGACGTGGGGGGCTCTGGGATGGGATACTGGGGTCTTGCTGTCTGTGCCAGTGGTGCTGGGGCAAGGGCACTGCTTTTCCCCCGGCCTGGCCTGGCTTGGCAGGCATGTCAGGTTTGAGTCATATGAAGCGATGGGGGCACATAACCCCTTCCAGCCCTTGCCTGCCAGCTGAGGAAGCTGGAGGGAAGCTCAGAGCTATAATCAGCCCCTGGTCCGGTCCCTCTGGTGATGGAGGCTGCTGTGGATTAGGTCGGAGGGCCTTTGCATTCATACTGGGAGCTCTTTCTGGACACAGGTCCCCAGCCGACGCGCTCCCCTCCGCGGGCACCTCGGCCTCCCCGGGGCCCTGACAGCGCCGGTGCAAGCGCTGCGTGTCTTGTCTTCGCCGGCGTGGAGCAGACAGCTGCCAGCCCCGGGGAGGGGTCCCGGGCGGGTGGTCTGGCCTGGCTGCTCATGACCGGCTTCCCTCACTATTGTCTGAGCACCAAGGGTTGGGGCAGAGCACGGGCGAAACTCGTTGCAGTGGGAGAGAGGTTGTGAAAAACAGGTGGCGGTGGAGTGGGTGGTCTCAGCGCAGCCCAGACCCCCCGACTTCTCAGACTCTCCCAGCTGTTCGGGCTCCTTATCCCGCGTGAGCGGTCACAGGAGGATGAGAGCGGGAGGTCCTCACCCCCGCCCCATCCACGCACGCCAGAGCCAGCGATGGGTACCAGGAGGCGTGGGGCATGGCACGAGGTCCGTCTGGCTTCCCGGAGCCAGCCGCCTCGTCGGTCCGGAGGGGCAGCATTCTTCGGGGAGGCGTCATGCGGCTTCCAGGAGGAGCCTGCGTGGGAGCTGTGTTCCCGGCGGAGCCCGGGCTCCTTTGATGTGGAGGTGGCCACCCGCTCCGGCAGCTGGCATGGGGGACTCGGAGGACGAGACGCCGGGGCAGCCGCAGGTGCAGCAGGCAGCGCTGCCTGGGGAGCGTGCCAGGCAGGCCGGTTTCCATGCCAGCGCCGCGTGTGCATGCAGGGAGGGACTCTGCCGTGACGTGGTCCCCACCCTGCCGGGGGCTGCACGTTGCTCGCTCCGAGCCGCCCGGCGCTCGCATCCCGGAGGCGGGAGGGAAGAGTTGAGGGACAGGGCCGGGGGGCGAGCCGGACTGACCCCTTGCTGAGCTCTCGGCACGGGGGCGATGGGGCAGGGAGAGCCCTTCGCCATTTGCAAGCTGTTCCCAGCCAGGCGGGAGGGGGAGGCGGGGGCGAGCCGGGAGCCGCGGCCTGGAACCGTCCCCGCATTTATTACCCTGCCATCGGCTGCCGGGCAAAGGTGACATTGACTAATGGCTCGTTACACGCCTGCCACATTTCATCTGGCGCAGCCACGGCAGGGCGCTCGCTTTCTCCGCCCAGGGGCCGCCGTGCGGGCATCTCCTCTCCCCGCCTGGGCCCAAGCAGGGGCCGGGGGTGGGCTGCGACGGCAGCCCGGGGTGAGGGAGCTTGCTGCAAGGCAAAGGGCGTGCATGCCAGCCGGGAGGCTCGGTGAGGTTATTCCAGCCCAAGGGCAGCCCGCCCCCCTGCCCACGCGCACGTGTACACACATAGGCATGCACACACACCCCTTGCTGCAATGTCCAGGGCTGCCTTCAGCTCCTGTGGACAGCTCACCCCTTGCCTCGCCCTGCAGGGAGATCCTTGCGCCAGGGCGTCCTTCCCAGAGCCCTGGAGGCTAGTGGCCCCTATCCGGCGAGCAGGAGGCCTCTTTCAGCCCTGCCCTTGGTCTCTCTGTTGCTTCCCAGCTTGGCCTTCCTGGCTGGAACAGCCCGGGCTTGAGGATGATTAAACCCTTGGCAGCTCGGAGAGCTGGGGTTTGCTTTCGCGCCAAGGACCAGTGAAGATTGCAGCAAGGGAGCAGCCTCCACATGGAGGAAAGGGGAGAGGGGCAGCTCAGGGCTGTGCCCCAGGGCAGGGGGGAGGCCTCATGCAGCCAGGGACTTTCCGGGGTAGGAGAAGGAGCTGCCTGATGGCTGTGAACCAAGCGGCTGCTTCCAAGAGGCAGGGCCCTGGGGAATCCAGGCCTCACCCTGAGCCGCTCCAGGGCAGACGCTCTTCCTCGCAGGGAGACAGAGCCCGGCTTGCAAGGCTGCTGCTTGCGTGGGAGGGCACCGGGCAGCGGGAACAGCCGGCTCTGCCAGGCCAGAGGCAGTGTTCACAGCTCCCCTTGGCTTGGAGATGTAGAGCCCTCGGTCTGGGGGTGCAAATGGGGACTTGGGGTCCTCCCCCAGTTGTCATCAATCTCTGCTGCTCCTCGTCTTCCCGTGCCTCGCTGCAGGCCTCTGCCCTGTCCCTTCCGGCAGGACCGTCCCTGAGTCATCTCCATCCCTGCAGGGGAAGTCATGGGAAAAAAGACAGTCATAGAGCAGCCTAATTGGGGCCCGTCTGACCACTGAGTCCTCGTTGTTCTACTAAGGGAGGCTTTTGGGTGGCATTTCCGATGCTGTGTACCCATCTTGGGTAGACAGCAGGGTTTTTGGACTGTTAGCTCCACACCACGTGCCTCTGCTGATTGAGCCACTGGTAGCAGAAGTAGGTTGTTATCCCGGGGGTCGGATCAGTAGAGAGGGGAGCGATGTGTAGCTGAGACTTAGAGCTCGTCAGCTGCGGGGGTGGGGATTTTGGTCTCCGGTTCTTGTCCTCTTTCTGCCCCTGTGCTCCTGTCTGGCCGCTCACCCCACGAGCAAAAGGCAACAGGGTGTATTTCAAGGCCTGGGCGCTCGGTGATACGGTTCAGAGGAGTTTTAGTGGCGTGTTTCCCCCCGACCTTGCTCGTCGACATAGCTGAACTGCTTGAGCCGAACCTGCAAACTCAGTCTGTCCCCAAGCAGCCCTGGGGCCAAGGGCTGAAGAGACCGAAAACAGGGGCCTGAAAGTGGGAAGCGTCGAACGGCCTGAACTCGGGACTGCGTCGCTGCCTATACCTCCCGCCTCCGCGCGCATGCGCGAGACCTTTGCGGACATATAGGCAAGCGCCGACAAAGCCACAAATGCATTCACTAGGAAAATTAAAAAATTAACAAGCATTGGCTCACACTAGATTAGCAAAGGCAGCGAGATAAAAGCGGCTCTTTATACGTTGTGAGAATTGCTGATAAGGGCATTTGTTCCTCTGTATTCTTGAAAAAGAACGCAATAAAAATTTAAAATTGAAAGAAAGAAAGAAAAAAAGGGAGGGGGAAGAAAGCGCCGGCCAGCATGATGGGTGCTAAGCAAGATGGGTGCCGCGGCGGAGAGCGCCGGGCTCCGCGCAGCTGAGCTGGGACCTGCGGAGGGAGAGGACGTGGGCTGGATGGAGAAGACCAGGGGTGGTAGCATAGTTTCTAATGCACCTATTGCTGGGGTCCTGCTGTTTCACGTTGGCCAGGCCGGGCGTCCCGCGGCTGAGCAGGGCAGTGCAGTGGCTAGCCCTGCTCGCTCCTGACCCGGGGCAGACTGGAGGGAGTCCAGGTGAAACGGCTGGAGCCCAGCGCTGCGCCTCTGCGGTTTGCTGCCCGGTGGCGGGCTCTGGCCGGAGGCTTCAGTCCTCCACTCGTCCCATAAACATGCCTGGACCCCGGAGGGGCAGGGCATGGCGGCGCGAGGGCCTTTTGCAGCCACCACATTGGAGAGCTTTTCGTGGGGATGGATGCCCCGGGACTGGGGTCCCCCGGGGCTAGTCGCAGACAAGGCGCCCTGGCCCAGTGTCATCGTTATCCTCGCCTCCGGCTGGCCGCACACAGCTGCCTCTGATGGAAGATCGCGCCGGGCAGATGCTGAGTGACAGCTCGTTTCCAGCGCGAGGGTGGGGGGGACCCCGGGTATGTCCCAGTGGGAGGTCAGGCCGTGGCTCTCTGCCGGACCTGGGCATGGGAGGCTGGAGTGGGCTGCTCTGGCGTAACTGTCCAGCCAAGGGCTGGAGATGCCACCCCCTTGTTTCGTGGTCGCCTTTGCCCAGGGCGCCCTGGCAGAAAAGCCGAAGGTGATGCAAAGCCCGGGAGGGGAGGGGAGGGGAGGGGAGGGCACATCCATGCCCTTCTCCCCTCCCCGGGGCGCCTGCCCTCCCTCGTGCCGCGGGCAGCGGCTCACCCCGGGTCTGTGCTCCTGGAGGCGGCACGGCGATGCCCGGGCAGCCACCAGCCCGCAGCCCTTCTCTCTGCAGGGCCCTGGGTGCCCGTGGCCCCGGGTCCCGGAGGCGCCAGGACGGGCTGGCACCTGGGAGCGCTCCCTGCCACCGCGCCCCCAAACCCCGCCGCGAGGCCTGGGGCTGTGGGGCCTCGCAGGCCGCAGGAGGGGGTCGGCCCCTGCTGGGGGCTTGAGGCCG